TACGTGGATGGTAGGGGTGAAGGGGAAGAAAGACGACGGGATGGGAGCGAGGGCGAGGGTTCATTTTTGGGGAATATCGTGGAAAGGGCATATGCCGGGCGGGCGTAGCCATGGGACGTGTCCATCTTGGACGTACCGCCATACCCGGGCCTGACAGCAGGGTTGGATCTCGAGCTGCTTTTCTTTTGGAATTTCTTTTGGATTTAAGGATTGAAGTTCCGGGTTGTTTTGTTTCCTTTAGTATACTCCAGCCCTGGTTTATTTGTTAGCGCGAGACCTCTTACCAAGGGAATGGGACCTCTCGAACAAAACGAGATGTCTCCAGTTCCGACTTCAGGGCATAGTCTGCAGAAATATAAGTATCCAGTTCCATCTCTGGGGCTGATCAGAAAAATTACAGGCGTCCAGCTCCATCTTTAACGCCATCATCAAACGGTTTGGAGCCTTGGGTAGCACCTCGAATATATTGTGCTAACAAGTAAACCAATACTGGGTGGTATGGTACTTGTCAACCGACAAGAAAGAAATGACCAGCTCGTTGTCCCAACGTCCGAATCGCCTTGCTCTTGAGTGCCACGACCTGAAATGCTGAAAGGAAGTCACGGCAAGTCCAAACTCCTTTCCTGTGTGGCATCCAGCAAAAATCGGTGCACAAAGCGACACTTTGAAGGCTTGGACAAGTGCCCGGCTCTGGTCGATTGGCGGCTTCCCCGGGCAAGACCACATCTCCGCAACTTCCATCAACACCACTTGAAAAGACCGACGCCAGACCGACGCCAGTTCTACCAGTCGCCTCGCCCCCCACACTGGCAGCAACTCCGTGTCACGTCCATGACTCCATTACAGCCTTCCACCCCAGTACGCGTACCACTGGCAGCTATGAGGAGCCAAAAGCCCGCCGATCGGCCAGACAAAACCGCCAGGCCGACCGCCAGGCCGACCCGCGCTCTTAGACCTCATTCGATCGGTTGATACAACCTAAAACCACCCGACCCCAACGACGTGCCCAGGTGGGCAAAGACCAAGGCGGGCTTGGTCAACACCAAAGCCCTCGTCGACATGTCCAAGCGCTACCTGACGGTGACGGAGCTCCCCGACGACGAGCCCATCAAGCAGTCTCCATTGATGGTGGGCTGCTCGGCGCGTCGGATGGAAACGAGATGCAAGAGTCACCTCCCCGAGAGCAGGATGGGCAACACGACGCTTACGTGGGCCCTTACACTGTCCGTCCTCAAGCACATGGGCCTCAGCCCGACGGTAGTGTCCATCCCGGTCCTCGTCACCGCCGAGGCGGGTGACCTTCCCGTGGCAGAGAGACTCGTCACGGTGCTGGCGCAATCGCACATTGGCCAAATAGGGTACAACATTGTCGAGGGTGGAGGGCAACACGACGCATCCGGACTGGACGACGACGAGGACCGTCTGATCGATCTGCTTTTCCATGTGCACATCGAAGGAGGCTGGCCGGAGAAGCAGACGAAAGCAGCACTAAATGAGCTGCGCTATCGACAAGAACTCGACGACGAGGTCACTCGGACGAACAAAGCGGAGCTCGCGGCTCTGACAGCATACGAAGCGGAACTGGACTCGCTTGGTGGTCCTTGGCTTGATTTGAGGATAGGCTGCAACTCCTTGGAACGCTCGTACCAGGACGTTGTCAAGGGGTTGGAGAGGATGTCGTTGGAGCTGGACTCTGTCGAGGAGACGATAAAGGGGGCGATTCTGATCCAGGAGGCAGTAGTTGCCATTAAGCGCGCTGCTCTGGCTGTCTTGAACGTGGCTGGCGTGGACGATGCTGGCGTAGATTAGGGGCAATTTATACATCTTCAAATAGAGAACGACTGATGAATCAGAGCTCATGCTGCCCGGTGATCGCCAGCGGCAGCAAGGCGGTCATGCGTCCCATCACGTCCGGGGTAAGAACCTATTTGGCGATGGCACCTGGTTTGGTGATGGCTGCAGTGCCCTTTGACAAGTGGGACCACATTCCCCCACGCACCACCCCAACTGCCAGAAGGAAACCACATCAACACCACTTGAAAAGACCGCCCGGGCAAGACCACATCTCCAGTTCCACCAGTCGTCTCGTCCCCCACACTGGCAGCAACTCCGTGTCACGTCCATGACTCGATTACAGCCTTCCACCCCAGTACGCGTACCACTGGCAGCTATGAAGCCGACAGCCGAGCCACAGGACAGCTCCTCGCCCAGTTACGATTATTCAGAGGGTAGGCACCAAACTCCCTCTTCGCCAACCACCCGTTTGGCGTTCCGTACCCGAAACCTGGCAAAGCGAACGGAACCACCAGATATCAAGCAGTCAGCAACGGTAAATATCTTCAACTCGAGCCGGTAGATTTATTTATTAACAATTGTGTAGAAGCTCCGAGTCGTCCAACGTGACGATAACCCTTGCGCTCGTTGCATAGAGCAAGATACCCCCTGCCGCGGACGATTGATCGGAGGACGGGCGTATATATGCGAAGGTTGTGCCCGACAAGGTCTGGAGTGTACTCCTGCCTGCGACCTACTTCTCAGCGCATATCTGGCATCCCGTATCGAGCCGGAGCCGACCGCTGAATCCAGGACCCGTCTTGAGTGTACAGTCGGGGTACTTAATGGCATCGGTACTCTGGTTGAGATAGGGTCCATCCCTAGTTCCCTTGCGGAGGCTGTCCGGGCTGGGGTACTTCCCGGCCTACCTCCAGTTCCGCCACAACCCCCTACAATCGAGCCATACCCAGATATGTCTTGGGCGGAGGTTTGGTCAAGTTTGGACGAGGACTACTACCCCGTGGAATAGCCGTGTTAAGTACAAAGGGATAAACGGTGTGATGTCCGTGGAGTCAAAGGGAACAGAGAAAACAGTGCCTGTAGGTACCATCTTGTGTGTACAGAATGTCTCTAGATCTTTGATCAACCTGAATGCTAAAAACAAAGCCGCATGTCATCCTGTGATGACTTATCCCCCCGCCTGTCAACCCGCCCGTCAACTCCGAGTCACTCACAGATTAAACAAAAATCAGGTATCCCCGATCGCTCTTCAAAGAAAGCATTCCCGGAGCATACTGCCACATACGACCACAGGCGTTGGAAAGCTCGGGATCCCGTCCGCTCTCCCATAGATAAGTCAACGACCGCTGGATTAGTAGTTGGGTCGGTGACGACCAGCGAATCCCCAGTGTTGTATGTCATACACTCTTTTTTAGTATTTTTTCTTGGTATTTTTGTTCTAGGGGTGGCAAGGAGCGGCAGGCAGGTTGGAACGGCGCGAGGGAGGCTGTACTTTTTGAGACTTGGACACGAGCCAGTGAAGTGTGAATTCCGAGGGAGCGGATTTTCTCCTTCAAGTCCCACCTACGACGACAATCGCGAGTATCCCATCTGCCCATAACCACCCAGCGCCCTAACCGTCCAAGTCCCCAACCATCAGCATCCCCCCCGCAATCACCACTCCAACACCCCCTTCCCCCCTCCCTTCCCCTTCCCCTCCCTCCTCTCCACCACCGCCTCCCCCCCCTCCTCCGCACCCCCCCTCCTCTCCTCCGCCGCCTCATCCCTCAAAACATCCCAATCCACCCCAACCCTCCCCGCCTCCCCCCTCACCACCCCCTCCCACCTCCTCAGCACCGGATGCGCCCCCGCCACATCCGCAAACACCACCCCTTCCCCGGAGGGGACGTCATACGTCCACGTCCCGTCCCCGTCCCAGAACTCCTTGCCAAACACCACGGGAACGGAAAGGTCCCTGCGCGCCTCCTCGAGGAGCGAGGACAGCCGCGGCGACGACGGGAGCGCGGCGACGATCCCCTCGAGAACGCCGAGGAGTTCCCCGGCCCGCGCGCCGATGGTCGCGCCGAGGCTGAAGCCCTCGTCGAAGCCGGGCTGCACGGAGGAGGATTTGGCGGCGGTGATGCCGTCGCGGTAGCCGGCGGTGGTGTGGTCGTGTTGGAGGCGGGGGATGTCGGAGGGGTGGGGTTGGTTGGGGTGGAGGGTGGTGGGGGAGGAGGGGGACGGGGAGGGGGAGCCCCAGATGGAGTCGGTTTCGTTGTTGGTGGTGGTGTTGGTGTTGGTGATGGTTTCGGTGTGGTCTTGTGTGGATGGGTTGGAGTCGGCGGGGGGCGGTGGGGGGTTGGTGGTGCCGGACATGGTGAGGTAGAGGTCGGGGTCCGGGGTGGAGGGGGGTTGGCGGAGGAGCATTTGGTTGGGTGTGGTTTTGGGTTTAGCTGGGGGGTTTGGTGTGGGTTGGGTTGGTTGTGTTTTTGTGGGTGAGGGATGGGGGAAAATTTGGAGTGGTTGATGTGATGGGTGAGATGGTGATGATGGGATGAAGGTTGGAAATCAGGGTGGAGAATGGGATGAAAAGACGGGATGAGACCCGAACCCTAACCCTGGGTGGGCTTTTTGGTGGTTGTTTGATCTGAACTCCATTGTTTTCTTCCATTCCATCTCGTCACATCAAACGCGGAAATTTGAAAGAATAAAAATTCTGAAGGATTTTGCTTGCTTCCTTCACCCAGTTCTCATTCGTTCTTTACACCTTAAATTCTAACCCGTCCCCACCCCTCACCCCCACCACCCCCCAACTTCACCCTCCCTCGGCTTCACCACTGGCCTCCCCCCCGCTTACCGCCGGTCCTCACCTCTAACACATACGCCATCCCCACCAGCCCCTCCCTCCAACCTCGCCCCTATAAACCCATCCCAAACGGCACCCCAGGCGCCTCCACCACCAGCTCCCCCAACCGTCCACTCCGCACCACCCCCGTCCCCCCCGGCAGCGGAGAGGGTGGGCCAGTCGAGGAGGTTGCAGGGGACGCCGAACAGGATGGTGGTGGTGGCGTTGTCGTGGAGGGGGTCTGGTGTTGACATCGGATGAAAGGGTCAGGGGTATTGACTTGGGACGGAAACGGTACCCGGCAGGCCCGTTTACAGTACCTAACCCCACCCATATAGGCCAGACTTTCGAACCCCCTTCCAATGAAAAAGGCTTGCGGAGTGATGAGCGGTGGTGTAATGGGTAAGCACGTGGGTTGACACCCTGAAGTTCTCGGTTCGAATCCGGGCCCCATCACAGGTTTCACGTGGTCTTTGCCCCCGACTGGCCATGATAGTTTCCTCATTGTCCGTGTTATAGTATCGAAATCACCCCCCGTTAGGTGCAGGAGCGGCTAAGATACTAGGACGAGACGAGTCACGAGCATTCTTTTTTGCTGGCATTTTCCTTTTCTTTTGCCATCTTTTTCCAGTATCATGTGCGGGCTACCGGGCCGATGGTGTCCATGTGCAGGACGACGGGGACGACGAGGTGGCGCGAGACAAGACGAGGCCGATCCTGGGCTTGATGCTGACGAGGGCGAAGGAGCCGGCGGTGGTTTCCATCTTGCCGGCGGTGCCGATGCTCTCCTTGATCAGGATGGGGATGCCGTGGGGCGGCTGTGGCTGGTCCCCTTGGCCCGAACGGCGTCCGGGTCGGCGGTGGTGGTGAGAGCATCGGGCTTGATCTGCGACGCCGCCTTGAGGGACGCGTTGACTTCGGGGATGCGTTCGACGCATGCGTTGGCCAGGTCTGCGCTTGTGAACAGGCCGAAGTCAAGCCCCCTGGTGAGGTCATCGAGGTCAGCGTCAAGGAGGGATGGGAATGGTCTGTCGCAACCCAACTTACTTTCTCGAAATCCCGTAACCCCCTGCCGCTTTCGTTATAAGCAGGACGAACCCCCAGAACAAAAATATACGACCAAAGGTAGGTACTGACTTCACGGCAGCTAGCTTCTTCTCGGTTTCATAAACGCCCGCCGCCAGATTACCACGGCCGCCTCTTCATTAGATCGACCATTCCTCTACAAAACCTAGCAAAGCCTCACATCTTGCATGCGATAGACACCCTTCCCGAGCAACTCCCCCACCTGACCATCCATAAGACCGTGGACATAAGCCTCCCCAATCACCCGGAACGACGGCCGGCCGTCCTGCGCGCCTGGCGGTGACGAAGTCCTCCTCAACAGTATCGGCGTGCTACAACCGGGAAAGACGGCAAACACGTCACCAGGCCGTGGCTGCTCGTCATCAGGACGGCCATAGCTGTGCGGAACCCAAGCAAACCGCCCCTGCTCCGTGGTAGCCAGCCGCCTGCCCAGCTTGGTCCGGATCCAGCTCAGGTAGGCCGTATAGTAGTGAGCGAAGTCGGCCTCGGGCGGGATCGCCCCGTCGAAGAAGCTCGCGAGCGGCCGGCCGCCGAGGCGCAGGGGCCCGATGAGCTCCAGGAAGCGGACCCAGCGGCCGAAGAAGAGCCGTCCGGTGCGGGTGGCCTCCTCGGTCAGGAACTCGGGCCAGTCTGTAGCGCCGCCGGCGGTGAACTGGCGGACCGCGTCGGCCTCGGTCAGCGGCAGGTGGAAGAGCGCTTGGCTGGCGGGGGGAGACAGGGTGCGGTCCGCGACGAGCGCGGCCAGCAGCGCCGCCGCCGTCGCCTCGCCGCCGCCGTAGGCGTCGCGGGTGCTCGTGGACTGCGTGACCCCGGCGGGAGTGCCGTCGTCGTCGACAGGGAGGGGGTTCTGTTGCAAGTTGGCCGCGCACGCCGCGAGACCGTCGAGCTCGTCGATGAAGATGCACTGCGTGAGGAGGTAGCGGTCGCCGTCGGCGAGCCGCGTGGACGCCGGGTCGAGACGCAGGGTGCGCGCGGCGTCGTACCCGCTCTCGGACTCGTGGCCGGGCTCGTAGTCGGGGTTTTCGATCCGTGTGTGCACGAGGACCTGCGGGTTGCGATCGCGCAGCCGTTCCGTCCACGACCAGTCCGGCACCCACGAGGGCGCGCCCTCGGGGCCCCACGTGTTGGCTTCGCGCAGCAGCTCCAGGCTGCTGTATGCGTCGATGTACGCCTTGGCGACCTGGGTGAAGACGGTGGCGGCCGGGACGCCGTAGTTGGCCGGGATGAGGCGCGCCAGCGGCACCGGCATTATCCCGAGCAGCCCGAAGACCTTGTCCCGGGGGTCGGCCGATCGGGAAAAGTTGGCAATCTCCATGAGGCGGGTGAGCGAAAGCGGCTCTCTTTCGAGCTTCTCGGGCTCCGAGACTTGCCAGAGGTCCTTCCAGATGTGGTGCAGCGGTCCGGTATCGACCCAGGCACGGTTGTCGGCGGGATCCTTGATCTGTCGGTCCGCCCTGACCCTGATGCTCTTGGCTGTCCAGAGATAGAGATGAAGGACTTCGAGGCCCTGGCAGAAGCGGCGCCAGTTGATCGAGGTCGAGCCGCAAAAGATGCGGGCCCGGCTGCTGCCCAGCGCAAGCTCTTGTATGATCCAAAGGCGACTCCAGAACGGCCTGGCCGTCAGGTGGTTCAGCGCCAGCCATGAGCCCGGCTCGATGTGTCCGTCGCCCTGGAGCAGCTCGGTCCTCAGCTGCTCGCAGGCGGAGTTGTTCCCGCAATAGTCTGCAAGCCTATCGGCCAGGGCGATGGCTTTGGCGCTCTCTTCGGCGGCCGGCCCGATGAAGCCGACGACGCACCAGGCGAGGCTGTACAGCTGTTTCATCCTGCCCACCTCGCGCTCCCGCTCCGCGTCGTCGTGCTGGTTGATACAGAGCGCGTCCACCCACAGCCTGAAGTTGGAGGCAAAGTGCCCAGTCTCTCGAAGCATCTCGAGGGCCTCGGCGAGGTTGCTCGTGATGCTGACCTCGACATCGTTCAGGCGAATCTTGGCCCTGCTCTCCGGGTCGCCCCAGACGTACGACAGGGCCGCAAAGTCTCCCCAGACGAACCGGTGGACGTCTGGGCAAGAGAACCTCGGTACATGCGTTGCGCTGCCGCCGCTCTCCTCGCCTGCCGTTCGGGGATCTGCGCCGATCTGGCCTTTGTACCAACACCAGAGTGGCAGCAAGGCGTCGTGCTGGAGATCCGGTCTGCACTCAGACTCGAACTCGTTGTACTCGACGGTGGTATCGAGCAGGGATATCGTCTCGATGCGGCATTGTAGCAGGCCATCCTCACTCCGCTCGGGCAGAATGTTGATCAGGCGAAGGTCCTCGGAGCCGAGCTTGAGCCGTAGATTCTGATACAGATAGGTCAGCTGCTGTTCAGACTGCGACTCCATCGTGGGCGGTGGGACGTCTGGAGCTGGGGGGGGGTGGAGAACTTGCCCTCTGCATTCTCTACCATGTGGGTGGGCAGGTACCTATACCTGGCGCGAGAAGCAAGTTGTATATGGACAGCCTCGTCTCTCCCGTCTTACTGCGGGTGTTGGGGCGGCCTGGAGGTCGTGGCCCTTGGCGGCCGTGCTGCGCATTTTCTCACCAGCAGGAAGTCCCGGGCATGCATTATCGTATGTTCCCTAGCCAATGATACCTCTGCCAGCCCCCCCCCTCCCGGGCCAACAGAGAACCAGTTGCGATAGGCCGATGTCTCGACCCCGCGAGTTGGGGTCCATGGATCAAATTGAATGGAATGAGATGGTGAAGATTCTGCTAAGAAGATGGAAGAGGAAAGCTGCGCGGGACTCCAGGTAAACGCAACGGAATGGCCCGTGCGGTGTCAACGCAAGGCAGAGAGGCTCCTGCTGTTGCGCTGCAGAGCGGCTTTGCCTCTTGCCGCAGGGCAGCCTTGCCTCTTGCCATAGCACCGCGGTTGTGCCTACCCCCTTACCCCCCTTCCTGAAGAGACGGAGATATTCGTCGACAACTGGAAACAGACAGGTGCTGTCTCGTGTTTCAATGGCCGTGGGCGGCGAAGCATTTATGTCGCCCTGTACGTTGACCATTGTGCCAACAGATCCCATAAGTTCCAATAGGAGGCGAGTGAAGTAAAGAACGAAGGGCGAAAAGTTAGGATGGCTCGCTGCTCTACGCGAAACCTCTAAACCTTCAAACCCCCTCCTCCCCACCCACAGTCCATCCAAGAACCCATCCCACCCCAAGCACAAGGAGGTAGTATTGCTCCCCCCCCCCTCCACGCTCAACCCCCCCCCCCCCCCTTAATGATGCAAACCCCCCCCCCTTAATGATGCAAAACCCCCCCACCCCTCCCCCTCTCCCACCCCTCCACCCCCTCCCTAATCCCCAACCAATACCTCAACCTAACACACTCCCTCCTCGCCGCCTCCACGTCCCCCCGCCCCAGCGCCTCGCCCAGCCTCCCCTCCGTCTCCGCCACCCTTTCCTCGTTCTCCCGCCTCACCCCCTCCAGCTCCCCCTCCTCCGCCGCCGCGTCGATCGCCTCCCGCGCCTCCAGCACCGTCATCAGCACCTCGGGGTCCTCGCCGGGCCCCGTCGACTCGTCGCCCGCCAGGTCCACGCCGTGCCGCTCGCGGAGTATGTACTCGGCGCGCAGCAGGGGGGAGCAGAGCGTCTTGAAGGCGGCGTTGATCTCGGAGGACGTGGCCTCGGCTTCGCGGCGCGTCTTCCTGCCGCCTGTCGTCGACGAGGGGGAGGTGTGGTGGTGGTGGTGGTGCAGGTCCGGGTGGGATTGGGCCTGGAGGCGGAGGAATTCGCGGCGGAGGGTGGGGATGTCGATTTCAAAGGGGCCCGAGGGGGGCGGGCCGTGGGGGAGGGTTTTGGGGAAGAGGGCGTAGTAGGGGAGGGGTTTGGGGGGTTGTTCGGTTGACGAGTCTTGTGGGGGGGCGGTCGGGGAGGAGGAGAGCCAGCGGCGCGCGGCGGAGGGAGGGGGTGGGAGGGTTCGTGGGGAGGCGGTCGTAGGTCGGGAGGTGGTAGGGAGTTGGCTGGGCGCGGTCGCTGTCGAGAAGAGAGCTCGTCTGGCTGTGGGCGTTTGGTTGCGACAGACGGCGCAGACCCAGGTGGTGGCGCGGCCGGAAGGCAGCGGGATTGAGCGTCTCATGTTTTATCGGATTGCGAGGGTGGATTTAGGTAGACTGGAGAGATGTACAGCCTTTTCCAAGTGCTCGTCGAGGTGTTGGTGGTGGTTGGCACGGGAGATGGAGCATGGATGTTCCCGTCGACAAAGAATTGGAGAGGAAAAACATGACGTCGCTGGGGTCAAAGCGAAAATTGCACCCCCCTGTAGGACCCCCACATCGCCGTTGTCGGGTCGATCTGATAAAAACGCTGGGCGCCAAGAGACAAGGGATCACA